GTAAGTACCTAGTAGTGCAATTGCTGGGTTGTAGGGTAGTTCTATTTTTAATTTTTTGAGGAACCTTCCTACTGTTTTCCAGAGTGGCTGCACCAGTTTGTATTCCTGCCAGCAGTGCAAAAGGTTCCTCTTTCTCTGCATCCTCACCAACATCTGCTGTTGCCTGAGTTGTTAATCTTAGCCATTCTTACAGGTGTGAGATGGTTTCTCATTATGGTTTTGATTTGTAGTTCCTTGCTGATTGAGGTTGAGTATTTTTTTCACATGTCTGTTGGCCATCTGGATGTCTTCTTTGGAGAAGTGTCTATTCATGTCATTTGCCCATTTCTTCACTGGATTATTTGTTTTTTGGGGTGTTGATTTTGATAAGTTTGTTACAGATTTGGGGTACTAACCCTTTATTTGATATGTCATTTGCAAATATCATCTTCCATTTGTCGGTTGCCTTTTAGTTTTGTTGATTGTTTCCTTTACTGTGCAGAGGCTTTTTATCTTGATAAGGTCCCAATAGTTCATTTTTGCTTTTGTTTCCCTTGCATCTGGAAACCTGTCTAGTAAGAAGTTGCTGTGGGTGAGGTCAAAGAAGTTGTTGGCTGTTTTCTCCTCTAGGATTCTGATGGCTTCCTGTCTTACGTTTAGGTCTTTCATCCATTTTGAGTTTATTTTTGTGTATGGTGTAAGAAAGTGGTCTAGGTTCATTCTTCTGCATGTCCCTGTCCAGTTTTCCCAATGCTGTTTGCTGAAGACTGTCTTTTCCATTGGGTATTCTTTCCCACTTTGTCAAAGATTAGTTGGCCATATGTTTGTGGGTCCATTTCGGGGTTTTCTGCTCTGTTCCATTGATCTGTGTGTATGTGTGTTTGTGCCAGTACCGTGCTGTCTTGATGATTACAGCTTTGTAATAGAGCTTGAAGTCCAGAATTGTGATGCCTAAGCAGCTTTGGTTTTCTTTTTCAGGATTGCTTTGGCTATTCAGGGTCTTTGCTGGTTCCATACAGATTTTAGGATTGTTTGTTCTAGCTCTGGACATACACTACTTTTTCAGCAAGCATCCAAGAAGTTTCTGTTGGGCACTGAACTTTGATTATAGCTTCAGTTATCCTGCTATTTCCTCATTTCAAGAACAGAAATATCTGGCCTGTTTAAATTTCCTTATATTGTGTTTGTCCTGATAGGAATAGGTTGTCATTAGAATTTTAAGCATTGTAATTTTAGTTTAGGTTATCTTGTTCAGCCTTTTAAGAATGAGAGTCTTGGGGCGCCTGGGTGGCTCAGTCGGTTGAGTGTCCGACTTCGGCTCAGGTCATGATCTCACAATCCGTGAGTTCGAGCCCCGCGTCGGGCTCTGTGCTGACAGCTCAGAGCCTGGAGCCCGTTTCAGATTCTGTGTCTCCCTCTCTCTCTGCCCTTCCCCTGTTCATGCTCTGTCTCTCTCTGTCTCAAAAATAAATAAACGTTAAAAAAAAAGAATGAGAGTCTTGATAGAGAAAAAGCATGAAGTGCATATATTGATAGGAATTTTGATATGAATCACAGATTCAAAAATAATGCAAGCATTTCATACAGAGCAGCAAGTAAGCAAAGTTAAAGTCAGTATTTTAAAATACATTTTTAGGGGTGCATAGGTTGCTCAGTCAGTTAAGTGTCCAACTCTTGATTTCAGCTTGGGTCATGATCTCACGGTTCGTGGGTTCAAGCCCTGCTATTGGGCTCCGTGCAGAAAATGCAGAGCCTGCTTGGGATTCTTTCTCCCACTCTCTCTTCCCCTTCCCCACTCATGTGCTCACTCTCTCTCTCTTTCAAAATAAGTAAACTTAAGAAAAATAAGTAATACAACACATTTTTAAGCAGCCGTAAATTTTCATGATGATATTTGGAACAGAAGAGAATCTTACAGCCTTAAGAAAATACTGTTTTATGAGTAACTTAAAAAGCAGGCTTTAAAAAATACACAGTATTGAAAAATACTGGCCATCCTGTAGCCATACCTCTACATAATAGGCTATTTTTTCCCCAAAATGAAAGACAGTAACATATTATTTAGTAAACAAATGAGCCCTTTGAACTGGACACATTTTGCTCTGATGTGCTTGTGCTTGTTAAATAAGAGCAGTGGGTGCCAGTGTGATGGCATAATTCTTAGCATTTGATTTTAGTTCTAAATAAAATGTTTATTGTTTTCAGCATTACTCCAGGTGGAGTAACTACAGCTCTCCTAGACTCCTAGTCTTACTCCTCCCCCTCTATTCCTTATCTTCGTTAATGTTATCATTTTCCATCGTGCAGGCAAGGAACCTGAATCATCCTTCATTTCCATATTAGTATAATCACTGAGGCCAGTTAATTTCATCTCAAAAATATTGTTTATCCCATCTTTCATTTGTATGGCCCCTCTTAATGTCCTTGCTGTTTTCTTGCCTGGATTGTGGCAATTCCTGTCATTGGTCTGTGTCTCTTGTCTGTCTGCCTTCCAATCCAGCCTTGTTAGGTATTTCAAGTTACCTAACTAAAATGACTAAATCATATAATGCCACTAGTTAAAAGTACTTACTTGGACCCAGTTCTTTTGCAGTAAGGTTCAAACTCCTTACACAAGCATTAAACACCATTCATGACACTTTTAGTCTGGCTTATTTCTCAGTATGTCCTTCCCACACATACACACTCTAGACATACTCTAGTCCATTTGTCATTGCCCAGGCACCTCTGCACTTTAATGTCTGCTTTACGCATGCTTTTTAATGTTGTAGAGTGGCTTTTCTTTTCTTCACATTTTTTTTTCCACTTGAAATTTGACTTGTTTTTGAAGACTTGGCCAGATGTTTGCATTTTCTTTTGTACCTACATAACAGTTTGAATACATTCCACATTTATTGATAGTTGTTTTAGATAAAAATGTGACATCGATTATATTGGCAGAGGATAAGAAGATGAATGTTGGCAGAAGAAAAAGAAAGTTCCTGCCCTAAGACCATCACACTGTAGTGACAGACTTACGATAAAGTGCCATGGGAGTACAAAGGAGAGAGTGTTTACCTTTGAGAGAAGGGGAAGTAGTGAGGACATAATGGTAGCTGCATGCCAATGTAGCATTTACTCTGTGCCGGCTACTTTCCATATATTAACTCAATTCTCAAACCCCTGTTAAGTAGTTGCTACTATTCTTTGGAAAGGAGAACTGAAGTTCAGAGACATTAAATAGCTTGTCCAAGGTTTTAACAGAGCTGGATTCAGACTCAGCCAGTCAAGCTGCAGGTCTGGCACTCTTAGCCACTATGCTATTACCTAAATGAACTAAGCCTTAAATGTTGAGCAGGAATTTTGTAGGCTCTCAGGAAGAGGAAGGCTTGCCAGCAGACTGAATAGCATGAGTAAACAATTTGGTTCTGCCTGGAGTACTTGTTCTTACAGGAAGCAGGGGCAGATATGGGACAAGGGCAGATATGTACAGATTAAGTGTAAGGTGCATAATAATTAAAATTCCAGTCAGTGTGAAGTCCTGAGGGATTTTAAGCTGGGAAAGGCCTATGCCTAGATGAAAATAGCATTGTAGATAACTGATGTGGAGGGTGGATTGATCCTTCCTTTCATAAAGCAGAGAAATCAGTTAACAGGCCGTTGCAACAGTCCAGATGAAAAATGATGAAGGTATAACTAAGGCAGTGAAATAGGGGATGAAGGAAGGGACATAGCAAAGAGATGTTTAGGAGATAGATTTAACAGGGCATAGTGACTGAATAAGTACATGGGCTGGGGAAAAGGAAAAAGAGAAAATGAGGAATGCAGGAGAGAGAAACAGAAGGTTAGATAATATGTTTGGTTTCATATATGTTGGATTTGAAGTGCCTATAAGGCATTTAATCCCTTTCCTGCCAAACTAGAATGTAAGATCTGTAAGGATGAGGATTGTGTCTTCACTGCTCTATCCCTAGCACCTAGGACAGTGGTTTGTACATTGAAGTCATTTATTTGTTAATAAGTGAATACATCCAGGTGGGTATGTCTAGTTGG